TATATTACTACTATATTTAATCTTAATTATATTTTTTTTATGTGTTCCGCTTCTTTCATAACATCTTTGAACAGATATGTTATAACTATACATTTATTAGCTTTATGTTCATGATTCTTCGAAGGAGCAGTTCCCATACGATCACAGAAATGAAGCATGGTAAGTGAAGGTTTAGATTCGGATGGGTGCATCATAAAATTAGTTCTCGAATTCATAAAATAAATTTTTTTTTATTATAATTTTGTCATGTATCCTCTGAAATATGATGCTAATCAATAATACTTATTTTTACAATAAAATTTCAATGGAACTTTAATTTTCTCTACCACTATTACGCTATTAGTGACATTTAGTAGTATATTTTATACTAACTAAATCAATTCAAGATTTTATTTCCAACTCCAAAATTAATTGAAATTGGCCAAAAATCCATTTTTCGAAATCAATAGAAATTTCAAAAACTTTTGACTTTTATTTTCGACATCGAAATGATGTCTTTTCTGACTGAGAGAGTTAAAAAAGAATAATATTAAGAATTTTTTAACGAAGAGCACGTTACACAAAATGCCTCTTAAATTTCGCTTTCCGTTGCCGAAGAAAATCGTCTAATTCTAATTATAATTAGAGATGCACGGGATATCCGAAAAGTATCTGGTATCCGGTATTATCTGACTTTTTTATTATCCGACCGGATAATCGAATATCATTAGTATCTGGGAATATATTCAATTGAAATTTTATATCATTAAATTGTTGATGTTTTATTTATAAATGTTCTATAAATAAATATACACATTCATAATGCTATCATAATATCTATCTACTATATTGCTGCACAATTTTTTTCTATATACAGTTATCTTTTCTATTAAAACAGCTTTTTTCGTTCCCTTTTTTCTTTTTTACTCAGTCTCATTTTTTTTAGACACTGTCCCGGAATCCGGATCGGATATTTGGAAAATATCGGTCGGAAAAATTGTCTTCTCGGATATCCGACCGGATGTTACATTCTTTTCGGGTATCCAATAATTTTACGATCCGGTGCATCCCTAGTTGTAACTGTGCCAATAAACGATAGTGCTTTCTCACTAACAGGTAAAAGGTGATGCACCTGCTTGTCGAATTCGAAAATACTCATAAGATTAAGATATTTCTCTAAGAAATTGAGTTTTTATAGATTTTTTGAAATTTGGATATTATGTTTAAAATAATTTTATCTATATGGTTAAAATTTCAAAGACCGGTGCCGAAATGGAGATATTCACCTTTCAGCTTTTAACACATTCCAGCTTTAACAAATTCCAAATCTTGTCGAAGTAACGTTTTAATACTTTGCGGCGAAAATCTTCTACAGATTTTTTTTAAAGATCTAAATATGTAATGTAGAAATATTATAGGAACTTTATAAAAAAAAAAAAAATGGAGATACCTGCCGTTTCTGAATTAGAGTTTAAATTTGTAATTTGATGAAATTTTTCTTCTCACACATCGATCGGCGAGACATATTGTTGCTACATTTCAACTGTCTTCAGGCGGACTAGTATTTATACAAATACGACATATTTTTGCGTGTGTACGCTCGCCTCAAAAGTTTCTTTCTTCAAAGAACACGCGCGGAGAGGCATATTTGTAGATTTTACGTGATTAACTTTCTAGCGCAATTGTAGCCGGAGAAATACTTTAATTACATTGCAGTCCGTTCAAAATAATATCTATCATTCAAACAGTTCAAAAATAAGTCAACAACTACTACAAATCATTAGCAATTGAATTAGCAGCTGGCTTTTATTAGAACAAGTCAACGTAAATCAACATAAAAGAAAATTTAAAAGAAATATTAATTTTCGAATATCGTAATTACTATAATCATTTTATTGATTCTACAACAAAGGTTGCTGCGTGTTACGTGTACGTTTCAAATATCTAATATTATGTTGTAATATAAAAACACAGAGTCAAGAAATTACACGTCGTATACGTACAAATTGTCATATATTGCAATATGCACTATTCAACAAAAAATAGGGAACAGTTTAAAATACGCTCAAAAATGCGTAATATTCAGAATACCGTACTCGGTGAAAATTATCGCAAACAAAAAAGTATTTGAAAACTCTATTTTCGAAATCGATAATTGATATTTTAATCTGACTAATCTTTATGGAGATATACGGACACAATGGATATTCAAATCTTCAAAAATGATCACTTTTGCTTCAACATTCAATAACTCGGTGAAGAAAAATCGTATAACACTCAATAAAAAAGTAAATTGAAAGGTAAAGATTTACTCTTTCGACTGTCGTAAACCGCATGTTTAAATTTTATTTTACGCCATAAATCTTAAGTCTTTTGTAAAAATTTTTCAGATTTGATGGGTATCAATTTATGTCCGTATATATATCTATAAAGAATCAGTCAGATTGAAATATCAATTACTGATTTCGAAAGTAGAGATTTTAAGCTTTCAAATGCTTTTGAATTTTTATCTGTGATAATTTTTCATCGAATTACGGTTCTGAATATTGTGCAATTTTGAGCGTGTTCTAAAGTGTTCCTTATTTTTTATTGAGTAATATATATTAATTCTTCTATAATATAATTAATTATTCTCTTATAGTTGCAAAAACGTGTTCCCTAAAACATATCGTAAAATATCCACACTGAATACAAAAGTAAATATATATATATAACGTAGCATCGTAACGTAATATCATTACACTTGTTCGTCACGATGAGATATACATATGTGAGTAAATACGATGTCACTTACATTATTTACGATTGAGCATCGAGCCCATTATAGGAGCACTACCACAATTCCTAACGGTTAAGTAAATTGTGACGTATATTAATGCGCACGTAGAGAAAATATCGATAATGTGATATCATAATATGTATGAAAAACGAATTCCTCGAGGTAGACGTTCACGATTTGTTCTGCATATATTGATCCCGGTAATGACGACAAGGACGAAACAAAGTATTTTGTACATACGTCTAAACTAATTCACTTTCACTCTTGGATTATGACTGTTTGGATTAAGAAATTACTACTTTTCTTAATTGTACCTAATAGGCAAGAATTTTGGAACATTTCAGTAACATTGTAGTAACATTAAAATGTTTTTTGCTTACTGGACATACGTATGTGTATCATACATATATAATATGCATGTATATTTTATATGTGTATAAAAGTAATAGTTGTTTGTAATTTCTACTTTGGGAACACATTTACAAGTATTGCGCGTACTTGCAGCTATTTATCTCTCTTTAACTGTAATGCGATTGTTATCACACGATTATTGTTGTAATTTTTTATGTAAATTACTTCCCATTTTCTAACAATTATTGAAAATTACTAAAACTATATATATTAAGAAAATGAATAAATTTTCAGTAAAATATCATCAAATCAATAAAAAATTGGTATCCTCTGAATTCTGATTTTTACTAAAGCATTTTGTGACTATTTGATTTGATTTGATTGATTTATTATGCGCTATACATGAGCATTTAGTACGGAATATTTCGAAAATTTATTTACTTGGGAGGGGGGGAGGATTTTTGTTTTCATGCAATTGTTTCTTCATAAGAAAAAATTATCGTAAAGTCTCGATAAGGCACTTTTAAAACACATATAGTCATTACTTCTTCTTCTTCGGTTCGGAATCGATCTCAACTTTTTTTGTTTCTTTCTCATTGTCGCTTTTCTCTTTACTAACATCATTCTTACAATCTTCCTTTTCTTCTTCTTCCTCCAGAAGTTTCGACTCCAGCTCGTGCTTCTTCAATTCCTCGTCTAGCAAGGCATCCCAATCGGACATGTCTTTGCCTTCGCGAACTCTTTCTAATTCTCGCTTAAGCATATCAAGGCATTCCCTTCGTTCCTTCCACTTTTCTGACATCTCGAGATTCTTCTTCTCATCGTCGATCTGATCCAACATTTCTGCCCTTTCCTTCTCCTCGCATTCCAACACATATTTCTCATAACTATCCACCTAAAGAATTGTACGTTTATAATAATTAATGATTATCTCACGAAATATTAACATTTTGACTGCCAAGCTGATATTGACGTTGAACTTAATAAATCTAATCAATTCATAATAATGTGTCATTTTTATATTCTGTTTTTTTTTATTTATATTGTGTCTTTAATCTCTTAAAATACTTAGTAAAATTCATTCTTAATTAAATAAATAAAATATATGTAAATAAGTGATAGGATTCTTATGAATTTTGTCGAAATGTAAATGACACGACAGTCAAAAGGTTAAAAGGTTTTCGTATTAACTATTTTTAAATAATTAAAAAAAGAGAAAGAATTAAATAAATCTTTGTTCGTTTTAATTAATGTTCACAATTTTTAATATGTTATGTGTATTTTTTAACAAAATAAGAAAATGTCAAATATTTCAAAATTATATTTGAAAATAATATAAAAAGTTTGGTAATGATTCAGAATTTGAATCAAAAAAATTTTTAATAGAAAATAAGCATGTCTTTAAAAAATAATTAAGATAAAATGAAAAAATTTTCATTTAAACTATAAAATTGCATTGTTAAATATAAACCTTGATAAATAATGCAAAATTCCATAATAAATAAACGGCCAAAAACGAGCTAAGAACACAAAAATGTTGAAAATAATAAATATATTTAATAAATTAAGCAGTTACATACAAAATTCAAGCGAAATTTGACATTAGTATGTTTTCATCAGTTGCAAAACGAATTGACAATGAGCAATTTAAATCATATTACAAAAACATCACAAATATAAAAAGGCGAAGATACGAAATGACCAAGAAATAATCAAAATAATTAAGCCTGCGTTATTTTTAATTGATCGTCAAAGCAGCATGATCGCAAAAATGCTGATGAACATAAAAAAAACAATTTCGTATTTTCACTATTTCATATTTATAACTATGTTTATGTAATATGATTTAAATTAAGTATTGCCAATTCGTTGTGCGATTGATGAAGACATAGTAATTTCGAAAATAGTTTTGCTTGAATTTTATATGTAATTATTTAATTTATTAAATATATTTATTATTTTCAACATCTTTGTATTGTTAGCTCATTTTTGACCGTTTTTATCATAGAATTTTATATTGTTTTTCAATGACGAGCCAGATCATAAATGTTAATTTTTTTTAATTGTTTTACACGTATAACATTTATTTTTATAAGGATAAGGATAATTAGTATAAATTTTCAATTTCAGTCACTTTTTGCAGAGATTATATTAGGCATCCATAGTTCATTTTTATTTTAAGATCATCTTAAATAATGTCTTAAAATGCTAATACAATTCTCTGACTTCACGACATCTTAAGACTGTACTTGAAACGATCTTAAATATAAGATTCCATGTGCATTGATTTGTGTTATGCATATGCATCAATTAAGAAAAAAAAACAAAAGTAATCAAAATTATTGAAAGACAGTCAAGTTTACCTTATCTTGCAACATTCTTTGAACATCATTTTGCCTTTTCAAATGTTTCGGTAGCCAAAAACAGGCCTGGATCAGTCGCAAAAATATCCAGACTGCTCCGGCGAGTGCCAAATAGGAGCAAGCGGTAAACACCATGTTCGTCATGTCTACGGTTACTTGTTGATGCTTCATAATGATAATCAATTCAATTTAAATATTCCTGCAATAACCATGGAAATAATTTTAAAATGATTTTAATCTTATTTAAACTAAAATATTTGTAACAATTCGCAGAACACAAACTAGTAATAATATTATATCTATGTTATAATTTCCTATCCTAATGTTCCTAATCCACAATGTTCTTTGCTTCCTATCTCTTGCTTTTTAACTTATTCCTTTTCTCTTCTTGATTTTTTTATAGACAATCGCATTTCTTTTTACGTGTTTCTTACGAAGTTCATCAATACTTTTGTCTCAAATAACAGAAAACAAAGAAATTGGTGGCGAATTCAATTGAGCGCATTCAGTGCGCACTGGAGCCTATTAAAACCGTCGTACACAAAATCAAGATATATTTATAAATATAGAAATCGATTAAATCCTGAAATATTCAATACATTTTATTGTACTATTAGGTAAAATATGTATTTTATAATTCGAAATATTTGCATTTCATTTTTATATTCAAATTAAATCAGTGTACAACGGCTTTAATGTGCACCAGTTCTTCCAATCGAATTCGCCATGAATAAAAGGCAAGAAGGCAAGAGGTAAAAAGTGGAAAAAAATAGGAAACAAAGATCATATTGTAGAGTAGGCTTAACTGCAGTTATGTACAGTGTTATATTACATGTTGTACACAACATATTGTTGAGTGGAAAATTATAAAATAAATATAATAAAATGTTACTGTTCGTGTTTTGCGGAAATAAACGATTTGAATAATACGAAGATAAGCAATTTTATTTAATGAAGAAATGCTTGTGCTACCGTTTGCCAACTAAACTAAAAGTACTGAAATTCCCTCTTTTAAATTTTATGTGAGTAATAGATAAAAGTGATCTATGAAATTTTATTGATTTCTACATAAAACTTATAATAAATTATATGCTTTTATTGCGACTTTAGGAGATGCTCTCATAAAAGGAAACACAATCTGCAATTGTCTTTCTTCAATTTTAATATTTAAGTTTTGGATATATTAAGTTAAAATATAAACAAAAATAAAGATTACGATTTTTTTTATAAGTGCTAAGTCGCATATTAAAGGAATGAAATCTCTTAAGAATGGAATCTCTTAAGAAAAAAAGTTTTTTTCTTTCACAGTGAATATCGTCTAAATCATAAAAAACATTTAAAAAATATTTCAAATAAAAGTTGAATAGTTGTAAGAGTATTTATAATAATAATAGAAAGATTTTTTAAACAAATTTTTTATTTATCAAGAAATGAAAAATTAAAAAAAATATATTTAAAAAATATTATAAAG